GAAGTAGGGGCTGGGGATTTAGCTCAGCGGCACAGCACGTGCCTGGCAAGCATGAGGTTATGAGTTTGGTTCCTGGTACCGGGAAAAAAAAAAGAATGTGAAGTAAAAATTCAGTACAAAAGGCCCACAAAGTGGGGGGCGGGGGGCGGGCTGTGGTGTGTGTATGATGTCACACTTGTGAAGTGGACTGTTGTGCAAGTATAATATCTTTTTTTTTTCTTTTCTTTTTGAGACAGGGTCTCGATATGAAGCTCAGGCTGGCCTTGAGCTCACTTTGTAGTCCAGGCTGGTCTCGAACTTGCAACAATCCTCCTGCCTCAGCCTCCCAAGTGCTGGGATTACAGGCGTGCGCCACCACGCCCGGCTATAATATCTTGTGGATTGTGTGATGGGCTATTATGCGTGTATATTTCATTTGTGTGTGTGGTGAATTGTTTTGTACGATTCTCGCATGTGTGTGCGGTAATGTGTCGGTGGTGTGTGTATGTGTAAGGTGTGTGGGTGGGCACGTACATGTGTGAGCCTGTATGCACGCAGTACATGGGCAGTGCCAACAGGCAGCAAGTGCTCAGCTGTGCTGCAGGTAAATGCACTCGACTCCAGCACCCACGCAGCCCTGTGCCCTTGAGCCAGGTCCCATCTTACTGGGTGTACGGGGTTCAGGCTGTGCCCTCAGCTGCCCAGCTCTGTGCCCATGCAGGTCTAGGGAATGGGGCGACCTTGGCCTTCATGTCCAGCGCTTCCTAACCGAAGGCTCAAACCAAAGCACCCCCAAGCTGGGTGCAAACGGCTGCTCCCGCCCTGGAGGAGGCGGACCTTCCAGAGGGTAGAATTAGAAGGAGACTGTGCTCTCAGACCTGCTAGAGGGTAGAATTAGAAAATTCCCTGTGTCTCCTGGACATTTGATGCAGCTGTCTTTAGCATCAATAAAGAACCCCTTGTGTTCCTGCGGTCTGATACTCTCCTGAGTGAGAAGGCTGCAAGGAGGCCCTCGTGCTTATTAAACCAGCACTCCTGAGCACCGTGGGAAGCCGGGCAGCCACAACCAGAGTCCCCAAGACGAGCCACCCAGGCCCTGTCCACCTGAAGGAGAGAGGTAATGACATTAGCTGCCCCCCCGCAAGTAGCCAGGCACCAACTCCCAGAGAAATCAAAGCAAACATTGTAAAGAGACGCCAGGGGCGCGATTGCTTGGTTTTCTTCAGCTTCAAATTGATTCTTTCATTGTAAAAAATAGTTTTAATACTTTAATACCCATGTTCTTTTAATGTTTATTGGGTAATACTTTTTATCTAAAGCTTCCAAAAAGCCTCCACTGTCTTGAAAATGTATTTTGCAATATGCAGGCTCCTCAGCCACCGAGAGTGGAGGTAGAATGACGCAGTCAGTGCCACCGAGCCACACTGGATGGCTCTGGATGGTCTTGTGGGCAAGACACCCACGAGGGGCTGGCGCTGTGGCCCTCAGGAGGACACGCACAGCCAGGGGACGCACCTTCCTGGGGGCCAGCTGAGCTCTGCCCAGCCCCAAATCCCCAGTGAGCAGGGCAGAGCACCAGGCTCCGCTGTGGCTCTGCGTCCCACCTCTCCTCCACCTGGATTCCTACGTGTGATCAAATCCCCCGGCTGTCCACAGCTTTCTGACCTGAGTATCCCTGGGCCCTGGAAGGTGACATCTGTCAGCTGTGGCTTCACATTCTTGGGGAGAACCCTACCACAGATGCCAGGGGAGCTTCCAGGCTGGGGCTCAGACCAACCCCACAGCTCAGCGACCGATCCACTCTGCCTGCAAAGAGTCACGCCAGGGCCGGCTGGCCCGAGAGAGTGCAGGCTCCACTGGACTGCTCGCCTGTGCCTTCCTGCCCCTCGCAGGGGATTATGCCGTGAGCTCCATTAAAGCTGTCTCCACACACACTTTAAATAACTAATTATGCGTAATTCCAGCATGCAAGAAGATATTAGCCACCCACCTTAGACAGTTGATTTTACTTAACAAATCCATTGCTTGCCTAACTTTCGTGCTCTCCGTTCTTTTCAGCATTAATTTAGTTTCCGCTACTGTTCAGGCTTGGTGTCAGCCAGGCAAAATCTGAGCCTCCCCCCGTATTTCTCACAACGTGCACCCCTCACTGGGCACCCTTGGGCACTCTGCTTCCTTTTCCCACTCTTTGTTTGTTTGTTTGTTTGTTTGGGATGTTTTTGTCTTTTTGAGACAGGGTCTCGCTATGCAGTTCAGGCTGGTATTGAGCTCACTGTATAGCCCAGGCTGGTCTCGAACTCGCAATGATCCTCCTGCCTCAGCCTCCCAAGTGCTAGGTACAGGTGTGCACCTTCATGTCCGGCTTCCCACTTTCTTTTGAGAACAGTCGTGTGAAAGGGCGTCACAAAGCCATGAAGCAGGAGGTTTTAGTTGTGAAGTTTCACCAGGGGCCCTGCCTGGGCCTGGAGTCTGTCCTCAGCAACAACTGTGTCACTGCCCACATGGGGCCTGGCCTTCTGGCCGCCCTGGCCCAGCCCTTGGGTCCCCACCAAGTTCTAGGACACGGTGTACAGCCAGCGGCTCTCGGTGCTGACAGGACACCCAGGCTCAGGACACAGACGGCCCTCAGGATTAAATCACAGCTGGAAGCTTTGAGTCTGTATCCCAGAGGCACCCGCCACAAGACAACCTCGGAGGACTGAAATTGTCCTCTGTCGAGTCAGAGGAGGCCCAGGGTCAGAGGGCTAAGCAGCCCCTGCGGAGCCATGCTCTGCCCCAAGTGTCACGGGGGTGAGCCTCGCTGTACCCTGAAGGTCACAGCATCGTCGACCTCATCTCCCAGGGCCCTGGCACGACCCCTGCTGCAGAACAGGGTGATGGTCCCCCCACAACCACAGCAGGGCCTGGAGCCCAACACAGCCCGTTCCGCAGAACCAGGAACCCACGTCTGATTCCAGCTCGGCTTTCTACTCGGCACTGCTCTTTTCCTGTTTCAGAAAAGTTTCCTAAAAACCAGTGGGCATCTGTTTAACACCCAGCCCTGTCCTGATGAACCTCTTCAGACCAGCTTCCAGCCCAGACACTACCCCAGGCGCCCGAGCGAATGCGCTGCACGGTGACCACAAAGCGTGGCCAGAACAGCTTAGTTCTGCATCCAATTACACACCTGCCACAGGACACGGCCCCCACAGCTTCGGCCTCGGTCCTAGCCGGGTTGTTCATGAGAAGCCCTGAGGCCACACACGTGTGCCCAGGTGGAGGGTGTCGCTGGTGCTGCAGAAGCCGCCCCTCCCAGGCGGGCACCGTGCTCTCCTGGGACCTAGAAATATTCTCGTGGGGCGTTAGGGTATTTGTGGGAAGTACTGGGTTTCAGCATGAAGATGCTTTTCAACCACTGTCATTAAGCACTGCAAGGCTGGGCATTCTCTGGATGAACTCAGGCCGACAGGGCGTCGGACCTGACCGGGGCGAGCTGCAGGGAGAGGCAGTGTAATGTGCCGCTCGGGCCCGTGTGGTCGGAGGGTGACATTCTTCCCACCTGAAATTCACCACACCAGAGTGTGCTGCATGGCCAGCACCTGCAGCCCGCCCAGAGAGCCGGCCACAGCCACTGTGAGGGCTGGTGTCCCGCAGCCACCTCTCTCTCCAGCCTGTTCCAGGGGAAGCTGGGCTCCCTGATGGCTGTCACTGTTGCTCAGCTATGTGGGCTCCACTGCCAGGGGATGGTGGTTCCCAAGAGGGGCCTGGCTGGCTGCCCTTCCCTTCCTCCTGACTCTCCCCCAAGACTCACCCTTCTGCTCCACACTGCTTTAAATCCATGGTTCCCTTTAAAACGAGACAGTGTATTCTGAGGTGCCCTCAGCATCTGCAGCCTTTGAAGCCTGAAGAGTAGCACTAAGCAAAGCAGGACCTGGCCCTCGTCCTCAGCGTGGGCGCGCCTCTTGTCCAGCTCTTGGAGTGGGGCCCCAGGGCAGAGGCAGTGGGCACTGGTGTCCTAGACCAATAGAGGGGGTGTTGCCCCTGGACAGAAGCTGGGGAGACTGAGGGTCAGCTCCGAAGTCAACACAGGCACTTCACCTGTCTTCAGGGGGGCCAGAGGTCCCAGTGGTGTGGTCAGCGATGAGCTCCAGGCTGTCTTGCTGCAGGTTTCCGGGGCTTCTTGCTATTTTCCTTTACACAGGAATGTGTGATGCTCGGTTCCAACATGTCCTCTCGGGGGCCACCCACCCCACCGCCACTCGCAGCTCCCTGGTCCAGATCTGGGTCTTTTCCCTCACTGCTCCGCCGCCTCTGGTTCTGCAGACTGCAGCACCTGGGCCCCCGGGGCACTGCTGGGCATGGCTGCTCAGCCACTCACGTGCCACGGCAGTGCAGGGCTGGGACGTCACAACCACCGAGGACATGTCAAGGCCCCTGCAACATGGTGAGGAGGGCATGGCCTGGCGCCACTGACCCGGCAGCTGCTCTTTGCACAGCGCCGGCCCTGCTGTGCTTGGTGGCATCTGGCCTGATCTGCCATGTGTGGCCTTGAACGAGTCTCGTTGCCACATCTGCCATGCTCATCTTTAGAAACCAGGGAACTCTCCATTCAAAAGCAGTATTAGACGCAAAAGATCTCTCTAACCTCCGCTTCATAAAATAAGAAATAATTCTATGCAATCAAAATTAAAACATACACGGCTTCCCCTGACCCAAGCCAGTCAAGATGCCACCAAAAACAACCCAACAAGCTTCAGTTTCCAACGGCAGCAGCTGCTGGTGGTGAGTACGGCGTGTACAGAGGCGTCTCAGGACCATTTCTCAGCCCGGGCTTTCTCGAATTAATGCTAATGGAAGCTGCCCTCGCCTTACTTTCTATATGAACACTGAGATTGCAGCTGCCTGCCAAGCCTGCTGAGGGTCGAGTGTAATAATTTTCAATTGGCCTCTTTGCCCAGAGGGAGCCCGACAGCAGGAGATTGACAGATGCGGCATGGATTATCTTGTGCGCTGGACTCAGCCCAATTTGTGGTTTGTTGCAGGTGCTAAAGAGATTGATATCGCAGCGACCCTGGAGCACTTGAGGGACCAGAGACCAGGCATGGTCCAGACAAAGGTACTGTCAATCAGTCCTGTGGGGCTTCCTGTGTATTAGAGGTGTACCTCTGCAGCTGTTTCCTGAGAGCAGAGAGGGGATCAGGCTGATCAGATGCAGGCCGGCTACTGCTTTCCCCCCATCCTCTGCGGGCAGGGGCACCCAGGCCTTCCCGAGAGGGTCACAGGGGCTGCCACAGCCCTGTGAACTGCCAGTGTCTGCAGATGCAGCCGAGCTCAAGTGGGTAACTCAGTTAACAGGAAGTTTCCCTTTGGAGCTGGGGCAAGAAAGCTGAATTTTCAAAGAAAGAAGGAAAAGGAAAACCCGAGTCCCAGGGGGTCCCCAGGTCACCAAGCCCATGCCTGGCGCCCTCCCTCGCCTGCCTCCCTGACCACACCTGTGCCAGGTACGGGCCCTTTAGGTGAAGGCATCGGCTTGTCCCTGGGATGTTGGGGTCCCGGTGCCCCAGTTGGCTCAGACTCACTGAAAGCCAGATTGTGACAACGGGTAAACAAAAGGCCTTCTGCTTAACCAGACCTGGACGGTGGTTGCTCCAGCTTCCTCTTCCCGGAGCATTGCAGAAACGTCTGTCTCCGGCCAGAGCTCTCTCGGGGCCACCCTCTTAGGTACCCAGTGACGGCCCTGTAAAGAACACAGCAGCCTGAACTTGGGGTGTCCGGGCAGGGCCTCCTGAGGAACTCCACAGGAAGTCCAAGTCTAGTTTACTGCGCTGGGTCTTTCCTGGGTAGGGCAGGGGTGGGGCCTGGACTTGGGTGGGTAACATGGAGGGGAGGCTGAGAGTGCAGGAGCTGTGAGCTGGGAGGGGTGGCTGGTGAGCACCGGAGGGGCAAATCGAGACATCTGCGTTTGGACAGAACTGGTCGGGGCTGAGCGAGACGGCAAGTGTGAGCGGTGGGAGCACTGAGAGCACTGAGCAAGGTGAGGAGAAGGCGCCGAGAAGGGCGCGAGCCGGGAGCTCCAGGGAGTGGTCCAGAGCCAGGACAAGGCCCGACTTTGCAGGGCGGCGGCCTGGCGCTCAGCCCTTGATGCCCTCTTGTATGTGAGTCTGCACCTTGGGAAGAGACCGCAGGTCTCCCGGGCAAGGGCACAGAGCCCCTCCCCGGGCGCGGTGAGGCCTTGATGGTTTTGGAGCGCAGCAGCGGCCAGCGAGTCTCGGCTCTCGCAGGTCGGTGAGTTCTTAGAGACGCGTCAGGCCTGCGTGGGAGAGGCTGGAGGGACGGTGAAGAGCAGGGCAGTCCCGTCAGGGTTTGTCCGTGGGGAGTCCTATCAGGAGGGAAGGAGCTGAGCAGACCACGTGGGGGCCGGAGTAGCAAGAAGGGGAGGCCGCGCTGAAGAAGCTGGCGGGCGCTGGAGTGAGCTCGAGGATGGCTCTGTGGGGCCCGAGGTCAGCGATTATTTGGGGAGCAAAGCTGGGGTTGAGGGAAAGAAGGTGCGAGGGAGCGGCCAAGGGAACGGCTCAGGGAGGCGTCCTGAGGTGACAGGTGGCTTTTGGGAGAAACTGCAGGAAAGAGGAGGCCAAGGCGGTGGAGCAGCCTGGCAGTCTTGGGTGTTAAGGTGGTGCGAAGGGTACGGTGGCAAGAAATGAGGCGTGAGAGGATCGCGCGGGGTCCCCATCCTCTGCGGGCAGGGGCGCCAGGCTTCCCGAGGAGAGGGGGTGAAGTGTTGGTAGAAGGCATGGAGCAGGGCCTGCAGGCTGGGGTGGGGGAAGGGAACAGGGTGTGTGGAGCTGGGACAGGCCGTGGGGAGCTTAGCAGGCTGGAAGGGACTGGGGGTGGGGCTTGCGGCCCAGAGGAAAGGGGCGGCTGTGAGCTGCAAAGGCTTCGGGGCTGGGGTTGTTTTGGCGGGGCTGTGGAGGGGCCCAGGGGTAAGCATTCCGGCCAGGGACAGTGGGGTTCAGTAGCTGAGATGTGAGAACGAGCAAAGCAGCAGATCAAGTTCTTTTGGAGGCTCATGAGGACAGAGCGGCAGGATCCCCGGTATGTGCCGGGTTGGGGCTGTGCTCAGTTTGTTGTGACGTGGTTTGCGGGGAGTAGGGGCCTCCCGGTTACCTGTCAGAGTCGGGAGGATAGCGTCTGCTGTCCATGTCCACTGGGGGTCTGGAGGGAGCTTTTATCTATGAACCGGGTCCTGCTGCCCGTGGCTGGGGATTCTGTGCCCTGTGCATTGCACAGGGGCTGAGATCACGGGAGGTGGTTTGAAAGCAGCTGTGGACCATGTCCTGGGGGGCGGTGTTGGGGAGACGCGGTCTCTGCGGGAGGAGCGCAGGAGCAAGGCGTCTGAGGGGCCATCCTGGGGAGAGGGGCTGCAGGTCGAGCTCTGCTGTTGAGAAGTGGAGTCAGCTCTGGCTGAGAGCCTGACGGTGCAGTGGGACGTCGCAAAGCCTTGAGGGTGGACTGCCCAGTTAGCCGAGGGGCACAGCCCGAGGTGAGGCCAGCCACGCAGGTGAGAGAGTCTGGGAATCGGGAGAGGAAGGAGCGAGGAGAAGTGGAGAAGGCCGGAGAGTGGAGCGGGGTTTGGGAGGACGACCGTCCTCGGAAGCTGCAGAAGGACCTGGGGAGTCAGGAGACGGCAATTTAAGGGTGCTGTCATGTAGGAGTGAGAAGACTGGCCGTCAGCTCCCACTGCAGGTCCTGGAGACGTAACTGCAGGTTCCAGGTTGATGAAGATCGGGAAGTGGTCCCCACGTGAGGAGCAGGGAGACAGACGCCCCTCGACCAGAAGGCTCCCCCTGGGCCCTTGTGTGTCCTGGCTCGGGTGCAAGGGCTGCAGGCCCCACCGGCCATCAGCGGGAAGACAGGTCCCGTCAGGTCAGGCTGAGGGAGTGGACGGCCCCATGCCATGGTGGGGCAGGAACGGGCCGGCTTCTGGGGGCCCTCTAAGCCGCATAGGGGACAGGATTTACTCGGGGCCGTAAACTTGGGCATTGCTTTGCCCAGTGCCCTGTTTTGTCCCACTAAAGCAAGGCCCCGGGGTTCAGGTTCTGCTTGGGCAGTTGTCCTGGCTGGAGTGTTGACGTGAGAAGCGGAGGCAGGTTTGTGGGGGTCTTTTCTGGAGCCCTCTCTCAGGTTCTCAGTTTCAGTAGACCAGAAAGCAGTGGGCATGAGATTGGCCGCAGGGTTTGAGGACCATCCTTGAACCTTCTGAGCTCTGTCCTGATGTCAGGGACTGCCCGGGAAATGAAATCATCTTGAGAAAAAGTGGGCTTGGCTTTTAGCGTCTCTGTGAGTCGGGCCATAAACTGAGCTGGCTTTCGGGGAGTAGGACAGATTTTTTTCTGGATTTTGTCAAAAGTCGATGGACCTCATGGGGGTCCTGCTTAGACTGGTGAGACTGTACCGGAAAAAGTCTTGGCCTTTTCTTCAGTCTCTGTGGAGCAGCCTATGGCTCTGTCTAGGGTCCTGTCTAGGAGGAGCCATTGCCCAGGGTCTTTGTGGTTGTTTTGGGTCTGTGCCTCATCAGCTGCATGGCTGACCGTCGTCCAAACGTGTTGCCCCCCATCGGGGGAGAGCGGTGGTGAGGAAGACGTGAAGATAGTGAGGGAGAGAAGTGGACCCCACAGTGTAACGGGAGGGGTTTGATGAGAAGAACTGGGGTGCAAAGGGTGGAGGGGCACGGAGGCTCCTCAGGCTCCTCAGGGTGGGAGGAAGTCCGGGTCCGGGGCAGCGAGGAAGGGATGAGGGCTGAAGAGGAAGAGGTTTGTGGGGTGGGAGTTTTTTTGTGAGGCGGTCTGGGGTTGAAGGCTGGCCTTGGGGAGGGGGAGTTATCATCTGGTGAGAGGGGAGCAGAATGCATTGAGGGAAGGTGGAAAGGCCTGATCGCAGGACCCCGCCCCACTTGTCTGGACTCTGGAGAAAGCAGTCAAGGTCAGAGAGGGTCTGGAAATTGACCAACCACGTTTGGGCCAAAGAGAGCCTTGTAACCTGGCCCAGCCATACTGCAGAGAGAGATGGGCCATCTTGGCTTGAGATAAACCTGGAGACAGAGTTGAGACAGGCTATGGAGGAGGCACCCGAAGGTGGTGTCTTTAGGAGGGACAGAGGCAGTTCCTCCCAGGGTCAAGGCTGAGCATGTCCAACTGGCAAAGGGCAACTGGGATCAAAAGGAGCATCCTCCAGACAAAGACCAAAAGCCAGAGCGAAGGACGGACGGAGGAACCCACATCCAAGTAGGTCTGCTGTGTCCAGGCTGCAGCCAAAGGCAGGGCCTCGGTCAGACTTGAACGGCTGACTGGAGGGACACGGCAAGGGCAGAGGAGCCTTGTCCACCATCTCCTAGGCGTGGACCCTCGACCAGCATCGGGCGGGGCAAGACGAGCCTGCTCAGCCTGGCACTGCGGCAGACCAGACACCAGCGCCTCGCGCAGGGCCTGCTCTCTGAGGGGTCCGCAGGGCCCCCACTGCCCCCCATCGGGAGCAGAGCACGCCGAGGTGTGTGCATCGGTCTAGCTCCTGGGACCTGAACTACACAGACGTCACCACCACCCCTCACTGGTGACCACCGTGCCAGCACCACCCATGAGGCTGCAGAACCTCAGGTCAGCTCTTCCCAGAGAGAGAGACAGTGGAGGAAACTGTGGCTGAGCACGCTCTCACAGGCCGGAGGCTTCGTCCGCCCAGGAGTCGATGCCTCTCGATGTGGGGAGCATGTGACCACGGACCTGGGCCGTGTCACCTCCTGGTGACACACTGCATTAGCAGGATAGGCTCAGGAACCACAGACATCTAACAAACATCCCCCGACAGTACAAGCCCCAGTCACCTCCAAGGATGAACAGGACATCTGGGAGATCGAGGGCAGTGCCAGGGCCGGAGACCAGGTGCCCCAGGAGCTGTCACCACGGGCCCTGCGGTGAGGGTGGGGGCACACTCGCTGCAGGGAGGGAGCAGCTCCACGGGGCATCACCGTGGCACCTCAGTGGCGGGGTGCCCTCAGTGGGGGGCTTCCTTCCTGCACCAGCATTCCTCCATGACCCTTGTCATTCTGGAGGTAAAGCCAAGAACTAGCTCACCCCCCACCCCCCGGGCAGGGAGGAAGGCTGCCACGCCTGCCAGGATGGAACTTGGGTGTAAGAGTGCATCTATGAGTGTGCGTGTGGGTGAGTGTGAGAGCCACGGCCTGGTGGCTGGGCCCACATGCGTGTCCACAGTCATGACCTGCTCCCTGCCCAGCGAGGACACAGGTGGCAGCTGGACACCCACCCACTGGGCTCAGGCCCCTGACCCAGCACATCTCTGCTCTGCTTCTAACCCCTCTCCACCAAGAGAGTGGAGTCCCCCAGTCGTGGTACCGGAGAGCACAGGTGCTAAGGTCCGGCTCCCATGCAAACCAGTGTCTGTCACCCACCACGACCAGGGCCTAGTCCTCAAGTGCAGCTTCTGCCATCATTTTCGGGTTTCCCTTGGCATGAGTTCCTCTCACAAGCACACTTCACACTCAAACGCTGGTCCTCTCCCCAGTTCCTGGGGGCCCATCCAGGTAACCAGCTCAGATAACACCACTCCAGACGTGGCCCTAGATCACTGAGGGTCACCACCATGACCGTGGCAGGACAGAGGCTGGCCCCAGACCACATCAGCGCTCCCACAGGGATTACAGAGGAACAGCTCTGTCCACTGCTGGGGCAGCACTTCATCACGCCAGCTGGCCAGGCAACGCATGCGAGGTCCATGGTACCTGTGACTCCTCTGCCTGACCAGCAAGTGCCCGGTGTCTCCCTGGAGCTCTGTGCTGCAAGCCCAGAGGTGGCCAGGGGAGACTGTGGAGCCGGGAATGGTGGTGTCCACCTCAACTTTGTGTGGAGACCGAGTACACTTGGTTCTCATCCCTTTAAGAAGCCTGCAGTCCTGGCGCCAGGGTGACCAGGGCTGGCCCTGTGCTAGACAGGTCACGTGTGCGTGTTCATGCCCTGCCCCAGGCAGGTGTGCTGCCTCACGTCCTCAGTTAGGAAGGCTGCAGGGGCAGGTGGCTTCCCAAACTATGACGACACCACGCCTCTGCACACCTGTGGACAGGACAAGCCCAGCGTGGCTAGGACTGCGACAGTCCTGGCGCTGTGTGCCCCACCTCGCCTTCCATCCCAGGAAGGAGGGTCTGGGGTGAGGAGTCCTAAGCTCAGCCTTCTGACCCTAGGACTTCATGCCCCAGCGGGGCATGGGAGCCCCTGGTAGGCCTGGACACACTGCTCCCTGCCCAGCTCTGGAGACAACGTGTCCCACCCAGAAGCCCGTGCCCTCCACGCCCAGCCGGTCTGTCACCAGAGAGCCCTGGTTCCTCTCCTGCCCGGCTTCTCTGCAGAGCAGCTCACCAGCCAAAGCCTCACTCACGTCTCCTGTCTTTGTGTCCCCGGCAGGAGCAGTTTGAGTTTGCGCTGACAGCTGTGGCCGAGGAGGTCAACGCCATCCTGAGGGCCCTGCCTCAGTAGGCACCACCACAGCTTCCGGGACCACGCCACGAGTCCGCCCGTGTCTCCCATCGTGACCACTAGCGATAGGGTCCTTAGGCTGCCGTAGTTGGTACCGTTCACCCCTGAAAATGTGCACTTTTGTTTCACTGAGGGGGGCTTGCAGCAACATCCAACTGGAGGGAGGGGGAGAATCAGTTCATTCATTTTCACATTTTTGAGGCGATTATTTTTCCTAACGCACACGTTGACTTTCTTAACGCAAATCCTGCCCTGCCGGCAACATGGTAGTTAGCACCTTCAGCACGGACTCGGAGGAGCGGGCTATGGGCGCAGCTTGCCAAAGGGGAGGAGGAGGGCAGGAAGACACCTGGGAAGCCAGAGGGCCCTAAATGAAGACCACCAGGTGTGGAAATGACTGTGGCATCGGCCTTGAGGCTGGCTCATCACGGGGAAGTCCCAGGCAGGGTTGTTAGCATCCTCAGCTTGCACCAGGTAAGAAAGAACCTCCCCGGGTGTCGCTGCCAGCACCTCCTGACCCACTCACCCGAGCACTGTGCGGGGCCAGGTCAGCCACACGGGTTCCCCAGGACAGAAAGCGGGGCTTGCTGGGGTGAGGACCTCCCCACTGCCGTTTCCAAGGCCAGGACCTCACATGAGGTTATCGGTGAGACCCACTGTTAATGAGAGAACACCGATGTCTGCGTGGCAGAACCAGACGCCCTAACACGCTTTCCTGTGAGGTGGCCACATCAGAACAGGCGTAGGTGGTCATCGAGCTGCAAGGGTCCCGAGGCACAGTGGGCCTAGGAGACACTTGGAGGTCCAGTCCCAGGAAGGGAGGGCATAGACGCCCTAGCTCCGCGGGCTAGACTCAGGCCCTCCTGCTCCCAGGACAGTCAGTGAAACACTGGGTTCCGCATGACGCAGAGTTGTCAAGATCACGTCTGAGCATTGGGTTTATTTCCGCACTCCTTCTGTGGACGCAGGGACGACATCCGGGGTGGCACACTGGGGTCGCCGAAGCCAGAGACACCTCTGTAGGGCTGAGTGTGGAGAAAACCCGTCCCGCCCCCGGCCGCCTGTCCCTTCCACCTCGGTGGGACACCTGCGGCCAGGCGTGACAGGGAGGGACGGAGCGGGGCAAGGGGTGCAGATGCACTGTCTGAAATGGTGTGGTGTACCTGCTTTGATATCTGTCCTCCCCACAAATCATTTCTCCCTACCTGGAATTCAAATAATAATTAATAGAAATGAATTTATCTGAATATAGGAAGCATATACCTACTTGTAATTTCTAACTTCTTATGTTTTAAAAAGAAATCCTGCCGTGTGAGATACATAAATCTATCTAATGGTGTCATATTAAACTTCTGATTTCACATCTGATGGTCTTTATTTGGGGAGGAGAGAGCAATTATTCTCACGTCCATCTATCTGTGTCCTGAAGATCCTGCGTGTCAGCGGCTCAATCAGGCCGTGGCTGGACCCGGGAGGGCAGGGCCTGCAGGCGGCTCTGCGGTGGCCCCGGGGGCCCCAGGAAGGTGGCGAGGCAAGGCAACAGGCAGTGTCCGGGCTCTGCTGCGCCTGCTGCCGAGCCGCAGTGTGGGGCACCCGAGATCTGACCCGGGGAACGGGTTCCTCCATCCCCAGCGCACAGAGCCCGTGGCACACCGGCCCTGCAGCCCCTCTCACCTCCCAGGAAACACACCCTGGCGGTCTCAGGCCACCGGTGCAGGGCAGCGCCCCTGCCGTGTCCCTCTCCGCCTTCCGCTCCTCTGTTTGGCTCTTTCGCCCAGGGATGGTGAGAACGACGCCCAGGGAGTCAGGCTGGCACACACCAGGTCCCTGAACAGCACCCGCCCATGTGTGTGTGTCCCGGAGCCAGGTGCAGGGGCTTCCAGCTGCCCCATCACCAGGACCCACTGGGAACTTCCTCTCTAAGCGCCTCCTGCCAGTGTCCCTGAGCCCCTGCTGCTGTGGCTCACCCATGTCACTGGTTCACTGTCACCAGGCGTCCGCAGGCACACAGCACAGTCACTGTGTCAGAGTCTGGCCGTGCCAGCGTCTAGCCAGGCTGAAGAGGGCGCGGTCAGCTCACTGCGGCACTGAGCCAGCACAGAGGGCAAAGCTCGGCCTGAACACCAGGCCGGGCACACCGGAATGCTGCTCCCCAGCCCTACAAACATCCGCGCCAAAATGCTGCCCTTGAGGGCCAGAAAAACAGTGATACAGGCCCCCTGCCCCGCACCTGGCAGTCCCAAATGTGCCCACAGGACACGCACCCCCGTTGTCCAGGGCTCTGTGTCCTGGGCCAGGGCCAGCCTGCAGTGCTGACTGGGGAACGGTGTCCCACGTGAACGCACTTGACACAGGCCACAGGACGTAGGCCAGAACGTCATCCGCTCCACAGCGGCGCGATGAGGGGCGCCTTCCATCCTGGAGCACCGCGTCCTGAACTTCCTTGTGCTGTGCTGGAGGCACACTTGAGGGCTCGGGCACCATCCTGTCTTCTCCGTACGTGTGGCGTCTACACCATCAGCCACTCCAAAGAGCAGGTGGCCTGTGTGCGGACACGTGTGTGGCGAACAGTGCCAGCAGGACGGCACCAGGGCAGAATTCGGAGGGAAAGCCGTGGGCACAGTGAGTGCCAGGCTGCCAGAGGAGACAGAAACAGTCGGGACGCTTTGGAAACAACCACGCTGTAAAATCAGCCAAGGCCAGGACTCACACAAGTGCCCGCAGTAACCAAGAGCTGAAGTTGTCACCCAGAGGCCCCGGCCTTTCGCCAACCCCGTCATGGATCCAAAGTGGCTTTCCAAAAATGCCGGAGCAGAGGGACCAAGAACCATGCCACAAGCTCAGAACACACACACGCACACGCACACACACACAAGTGCACACATGCACGCACACAAGTGCACTGACCGCCAGGGCCCCTCTCCCTCCGGTAAAGCCCCTAGCTGAGCTCAGCCCGGACCCTGGCTGGTGGTGCTGCCCACACAATAAAGCTTTTTATCTTGCAAAAACCTGTTGCTGTTGGTTTCCCTGGGGAGACGGGGACAGCAAGCTCTTGCTCCATAATATTTGAGTATTTACTATCTGTGCCCTGATAGAATCTGTCAGTTAGTATCATTTAATTTTTCTTTGTCTTTTTGAGACAGGGTCTCACTATGCAGTTCAGGCTGGCCCTGAGCTCACTTTGTAGCCCAGGCTGGTCTCAAACTTGCAATAATCCTCCTGCCTCAGCCTCCTGAGTGCTGGGATTACAGGTGTGCGCCACTACACCTGGCTAATATCATTTAGTTTTAATGGCTATATCAAACAACCACCTATGCAATTCCTCCATCTGAAGAGGACAGTGGGGGACATGATCGGGACCTCAAAGAGAGGAGTTTGCTTGAGCAGGAGCCCCAGCCGTGGATGGTGGTACATGCCTGTGATTCCAGCAGTCTGGGAGGCTGAGGCAGGAGGATCAGGGTTGCAAATTCTAGACCAGGCTGGGCAACTTAGCAAGACCCTGTCTCAAAATGAAAAACAAAAAAGAGCTGAGAGTGTAGCTCAGTGCAAAGGCCCTGGGTTCAATCCTCAGTACCTAAAAGAAAGAAAAGAAGAGTATCCCCATCCTACAGGAGAATGTGGTGTGGAGTTGGTCCCGCTGCAGGACCCAGACCCAGAGAGCCCCATGGGTTCCCAAGGTCAGAGGTGAGACTCGTGGTGGACTTGGGGACCCTGTGAAAGCTGCTCCTAAGAGCCAGCACAGTACAAACCAGGATGCAGGAAGGCGGTGACGTCTGCTCTACACCCACAGATGCCAGAGCACAGCACGGAGCACAGCCGGACATGGAGAGGAGCTGGGCGGGTCCTCTGGACTCGAACCCCAGCAGGAGCAAAACTCTAAAACCCAGGGGACACAGGTCCAGGCGACACAGCAGGAGCTGAAACTCAGTGTCAGACTGAACAGAAGGTGGGTGCAGCTGAGACCCCAGGAGGAGATGTCCAGGCAGCGCTGAGAAAGCCCCTCGGGGAGGAAACTGCCAGGGGAGTCACAGGAGGGAGAGTGGGGCTCTGACGGGAAGGGGTCGCAGCGCAGGAAGCCAGGGACAACGGCTCCTGCCTGTGGCCCGGGTACACAGCTGTGATGTCGGGGATGGCGCTCGAGGCCCTGTGGGACCCTGACTTGGATGGAGAGCCAGCCTGACCACAAAAGGCCTCCGCCACCCCTCACTATGTGCTCCCCTTCCAAGGACGTCGTCAGCGCCTGCGCCAGGCCCAGACCCCCACAGCCTGGGCTCAGGAAGTCAGTGGTCTGTAAGCACCGCCCTCCGTACAGTCACAGTGACAGAACACACAGTGACCTGTGCCAGGGTGGGGTTGAGACCCTGCACAGGGATAGCCTGGCTTGGGGTGCAGAGGAGAGCGAGATGTGAACTTTCCCAAGGCCCCAGGGAACAAGGTGGAGACCAGGACCTGGCTGGGGTGGGGCATGGCTAACCCACCCCACTTTCCCTCGATTGTGTCTGATGCCTGGTGAGAGAAGCCCAGAGGACCAGGTCCTCCTGGCAGGTTTGCCGAGCTCTCGTGGGGGCGTCTGAGTACTCACCATTTCAACGCCATGAGGCTGATCCCTAACAGGGCTCTGTTTTTATGGAATGTTGCTTAAGACAATGGGGAAAATGGTTAGCTGTGATCTTACCAAACAGTAAAAGAAGAAACGCACCAGTGCTTACTGAATAATGAGACCTGATGCTTCACACAGTGGCACATGCCTGTAATCCCAGCCCTCTAGGCGGCTGAGGCAGGAGGGCCATAGATTTAAACCCATCCTGGGTAACCAAGGATGTAACCAGGGAGTAACCAAGACTCAGTCTCAAAATTGTAAAAAAAAATTTTTTTTCAAGGGCTGGAGATGTAGCTCAGTGCAAAGAACTTGAGTTCAATCCTAATTTTAGGAGAAAACATCAGAGAGACCTGCAGATCTCCGGGCATTGGGATGGGATGGGTTGGACTTCCTGCAAGGTGCCCACTTGCGCCCACACGTGTTCCGAGCCTTATATGAATACTGGCCATCCACGGTCCTACACCGGACTCTGCGGCCTCCTTAGCCCCTGGCCACGCCCCTCCGCTGGAGCCCACAGTTCCCGCCCTCCCTGAGGTCCCAGCCCTGCACCTCAGGCCTGAGCGCGCAGCCTCCACGAGGCTGGGCAGTGGGCGGGCGTCTGCCCACAGGGTCTGTAGCGGGCTGCGGCAGCTGCTCTCTCCAAAGCCTCCCAAGGCCTCGCCAGGGCTCTGGGCCAGGGCTCTGGGCCAGGGCTGCCCTGCTGAGAGTGGGGTTGACGTTGCTGCTGTTCATGTGTCTTCTGGGCAGTGCCAGTCGGGCCACTGCGCCAAGCACCCCTCCGCCTTCCGCACACCAGACTTTACCGTCCTCTGAACCTCTCACGCCACCCCTCTTCCATCTTCCTGTCCTCCTCCCTCCTCTCACTTCCGGTTTCAGGGCATGCGTGGAGCCACCCGGCCCTCTCCGTAGGGAACTGACAGCAGTATTATGTGTAATCTGTGCTTGTGCTTTATTAATCAAGTAGAACACTAATAAAAAAAACCTTCATAATTAGTGGAATAAGCATTAATTCAAAGATGTTTATTGGAATAGAAAATTAGAATTTGATGACACCTTTGTTCCTGAACAATAGGTGCTTTTCATTTTATTTGGGTATTATTGAGAAACTGGTCTCAGTCATTCACTTTGCGCCATTTATTAGACAAAACAGATGGTTCGTGGAGTCTGCTTTTCTCGGTTGTATGCAGCTGATAAATGTCATGGGGGTTTTTCTGGATAGGAGCTATTTCCTCTTGTTCAGCTCCCTGCTCTCCTGGGGACGTGGGAGGGTCATGAGACAGTCGTGGGACACGCGGCTGCGGCATAACCTGGCTTCACGTGTCCTGCAAGTCTGTGTGGGGGTGTGACCCTTCCTGTCCTCCCCCCGCACTGCCACAGCTGCTGGTGTAGGACAGTGGTGGCTGGAGGTGGGGCGGCCTCGGGGGGATGCACGGGCAAGGTAAGAGAGGGCCTCGGGATGCAGAGACACAGGCAGCTGCTGCCCTCATCTGCCTGAGGTGACATCACAGCCTGTCGCCTCACTCTCCCACTCGCCCTGCTTGTATTTTAAGAGGAGACCTTGTACACAGCAGCCTCCCTCTTCCCCTCCCTCCACCCTGCCCCACCCGACCCCATGTCCCCTTCGAAGGAAGCCCCTGCCACATGAAATCCTGTGATCAGGTTGTTTTAGAGCTACCTGCTCGTTTTCAGCCACTGTGTGTGTATCAGGGAGGTCTCCCATAACAGTGGTGCTCACGAGGGATCAGGAGAGCTCATGTGCTGCC